CTCTACCGTCTTCAACAATTTCATGTAACCCCAAAGATATGTTGTTCATGTCATAGTCAAGAATTTTCAAGATTCAAGAAATGCTTTTATTGGTGTTTCCTTTTTTGATGTTCAAGAAACTGTAAAAATGACGAATATGAGTTCAATTATTTGAGTTACGACTTCTTTGACTTATTGTCAATTAGTATATTTTGATTTGATAACTCTTTCTCTACATCAGGAAACTTCGACATCCCTCCTCTCTAAAAGTGTGTATGCCTAAATTGCTCAAAGTGTGGGCCCACCTACATTTCTGAATCTTTTTTTTTTTTGTATATCCGTACCCTATAAAATATAGTAGTAAAAAGCGTATTACCAATGAAGTTTAGAACCTTAAACAACATCCATATCAAATCAAGACTTTGACAAGCAAATACACTAAGTAGATGGCCATGAACCGAGTCTCTATATAGTTGTATCGTATTGTTTCATAACACGTATCAAAAGAATCATTGAACATATGTTATATTCATCGAGGACACTAAAACCCAACAACTTTAAATACATAATTGAAAAAAATAAAATAAAATGCGTACGACATGGAGAATTGACACTTCAATATACGTCTTAGCCAAAACCACATGAAAATGTTGTACTTGTACCCAACCTTTCGAACAATCCAACAAAAAGCAAAGAAAACTTTACAAAGCCTTCGTTATATCTCTATAAGGAAAACCAAATAAAAAAAACGAAAAACAAAAACAAAATTATTATACCTTCGAGCAAACCCGCATATTATAAAACCAATTATGTACCCGTGCGTTACTCGGGTATATAAAAAAATAAATGGTGTATCGAAATTTACATAGATCAATCATATTCATATCTGATGAAAGACATCAGGGTATGACCCCATTTGGTAGATATTGAAATCTGATGCATTGTTGACTTGTACATCATGCATATGCATATGATGTTGCCATTGACCTACACATCCTTCTTCAGATTTGACATTAACCCCATTCAATTGAAACATTTCCCCTTCAAATGTCATCTGTTCAAACCCTGCAGATAGGCTTCTTGTTGTGTTCATGTTTGAACTATTTCCGGTGGTGCTTGATCCTGAATGATCGGAAAAGTCGGTGGCGGTGGCGGTGGCAGCGGCAGTGCACCGGTGATCAAAACTTGCTAAATTTGGTAATGACGTTTCGTAGGTTGTTTGGTATGGAGCTAAAAGATTTGAGTTGTAGCTTATTGGATCGATGCCCGATTGGAATTCCACCAAGAACAAAGGATCACAAACTGATTTGGTTAAGAAAGTGTCGCGTATTGAGCTTGTTTCCATTGATGACGATGAAGATAACATTAATCCACCATTGTTGATGTGGAAAGCCTGCTCTAATTCAGCTGTCATTGGCATTGATGATGACGAATTTGGAAAAAAATTTGACTTTTTATCGAAAAATTCAATCTTTTTGTCTTTAACATCATCGTTGTCGGTGATTGGCTTGTGGGTGTTTGGATCAATCCCTTGTTTTATCAGTTTCTTCTTTAGACACGAATTCCAGAAGTTCTTGATCTCGTTATCTGTTCTTCCTGGCAATTGTGCAGCAATTTGAGCCCACCTGGAACCCATTTTAGCACAATTTTTAAACAAGATTCAAGAAAAAAATGGACACTCATTTTGTGAAATGGAAGAATCGGATGTTTTTGAAGTCGAATTTTATTACCGATTGCCAAGAACTTGATGAAGATTGAGTATAAGCTCTTCTTCTTGTTGAGAAAACATTCCTCTTTTAAGATCGGGCCTCAAGTAGTTTATCCATCGAAGCCTACAACTCTTCCCACATCTTTGCAATCCTGCTTTTCGTTCAAGAATCCGGAAAAAAGTCAAAAAGTTTCCAACTTTATATCAATACATACAAATATACACAGAAAAACAATGAAAACCATGTCCATTTTTACAATTTGCAATGAAAAGACTCGATTTTTTCTGTAACAAAGAGGGAAGAGAACACTTTTCCGTAACAACAAGGGAAGATCAAGAATCGACAAACTGGTCTTTTGTATTGGGATTGAGAAAAGATTCTGATTAAGGATAAAAACCCAATTGGTAATGTAAAGAACACTCGTTTGTTTCAGTATTTTATTGCAATTCGAAATAAAAAAAAAGACTTTGGGTTTTATTTGGAGAAGACAGGTATAAATAACCAAAACGGGCCTTTTTCCCTGCAATTCGCATCAGAAAACGACCCCTGAAACAGAAGAGAAGAGAAAGAGGTAAAAACCAGCATGTTTAGGAACTGAACTCCAGCAACCAACACCAAATCTTGTAATGTATTTCAGAAGCTTGTCATCTTCTTCAGGAGACCATAATCCTTTTCTAAGCTTTTGCTTGACACAGCAAGAATGGCGACCCATGAGACTCTGTTTAAAGAAGAAGCTGCTTGCTGTTGTTATCACTGCGAATATATAAGCAGGGGGGAGGGAATAATGGGATTTTAATAAAATAAATAATAGTAATAAACTTCAAGTATGTAAAGGATGTGTCTTTTTTTGAAGTGACATATCAAGAAGTTTTAAAATTATAATTTAATTAACTTATGTCACATTATTTTAATTATTTAACGAAACAAAATTATAATTTATTATCATCTTAAATAAATCTATTAAAATCGATAATATAAAATAATATGTCGCCAATTAAGATATATATCATTAATAAAATTGAGTAAGCTAACTTTAATGTTATTTTAAGACAAAATTATAAAAATGGTCTATGTGGTTGACAAAATTATATGGTTATGATCCAAAAAGTTTTTGTGGTGAATGTTCAAAATTGGATATTTTTAGTGATTTTGGTCCCTATCATCTTAAAAAGACTATTATACCATTTATATTTATTTTTTTATTTGTTATTTTTATGTTAATATTTTTTAATTAATTAAAAAACTCTCTCTCTCTCTCTCTCTCTCTCTCTCTCTCTCTCTCTCTCTCTCTCTCTCTCTCTCTCTCTCTCTCTCTCTCTCTCTCTCTCTCTCTCGGGTTTGGTCTTTTCACAAACTTGAGATCATCTTATGAACACAAACACATTATCAATAACATCCATATCTTCATAAACACATACACACATCAGATTTTAAGAGCATCCATATCTTCATGAACACATACATACATCCGATTTTTAGGCTTTTCTGAAAATACATACATACATCAGAATTTTTGGGCTTTTTCTTCAAAACACACATACACACAAAATTATGAAGATACATACTCAAGAATAACACACATCATAGGAGGATTTTTATATATCTGCACTAGGAGTTTTCCAAGTGCCACCACTGTCCGCCATCACCACCTGCAACCACCTCCATCTCCACCTAGAAATCACCGGACGCCACCTGGTGATAAGGTTTTAAATCAGAGGAGTTTTCCAGATCTGCACTTGGGTTAAGGTTATTCAGACGGCAGCGGTGGCAGCGTTGATATCTGAAAAACGAAGATATCGACTCCATTATCAGTTGTTTATCCCCAATCTCAAAACTTCACATGAACATCGCCATTTTTTCTGGTTTCATCGATTTCAGATTATTAATTCCACCGAAAGGAATATCGATTTTGTTGAAAGTAAGATCGAATTTTGGAAAACTCATGTAAATTTGATAGAGAAGAAATTGATGATTTCTGGTCAAAAACTTATCGTAAGAGTGAAATCAACACCTGGAGCTTATTTCTTCTGGTCGCCGGCGAGTGTGAATCAGATTGGGTGATTTTATCCGGCGAATTTGGCGCTGGATACTTCTAGGGTTTCGATGGCCTTCTCTCTTTTGCAGTTTACTCTAAGCTAGGTGTTTCAGATCTTATATCGGAGTCCATTACTCCGTAAACTGCTTCCCCTCGATCAAATTTATCCCCTTCTTCCTCCAGAGTCCTTATTGTCTTTGTCCCCCAACGTGTGTGAGTGTGTGTGTGTGTGTTTACTTTACATATTTGTTTGAAGGTTACTCTGAGAAAGTTCTGTGTTCATCAATAGACTGTGGGGTTTTTTTAGATAAAAGACAAAGGGAAAGGGAGAGGAGAAAAAAAGACGAGGAATGAGAAACGATGACAATCATAGGGGCGGTTTCTAGGTTCTTGATTTTTGATACATTTGTTTTCTTATTGTTGTATGTATGCGTGTTTAAGAAGACGAAGTTAAAGAACCCAGATGAAGATTTAGTTCAAGATGAGAGAGAGAGAGAGAGATTTGTAGATTTTATTTTTTATTTTTTAAGTAAAAGAATAATAAAAGAAATTAAAAAATAATTACTTAAGGGGTATATTCGTCATTTCAAGGTGGGTATGGACCAAAACCACACAAAAATGACAATCATGAGGACCAAAACCGCACAAGATATTCGAAATTGGACCATTGGCACACCACCAAAAGTTTTTGGACCAAAACTATAGAATTTTGCCAATCACAGGGACTATTTTTGCAATTTTGTCTAATTTTAATGATAGTAACATTTTTTTTACAAAATGACCACTCGGTCCAGAATGAGCCATTCCAGAATAAGTGTCGGAAATGCGATGTCCGGAATCGACAAAACTACAAATTTGGTCCCTATGGTATTCAAAAAACTTTGGATACGGTCCAAAAAGTTTTCAACTTGCATGGAAGGTCTAAAATTAAGGTTTTTCTGGGTTTTTGGTCCAAAAAACTTAAAAAGACGGTTATGCCCTTTTGATTTCTTTTTCCCTTTTCTATAAGTATTTTAATGCTATTTTGATTTAAAAAAAAAGAATTTTCCACCCCCACCCCCACCGTAGTCTCCCTCTCCCCCCCCCCCTCTCTCTATCTCTTTGACTATTTCTCTCTCATTCTCTTTCTTTTTCCACCTTCTTCTTCCTCATTTATGGAATCCGAAAAAAAAACCCAAATTTTTTGCTACTTGGCTACCAGATTATACAGACTGGTTTGTTAGAATCTCGATCAACGGCATGAATAAAATCATCATAATGTGTAACAGGTTACATTCATGATACTGAATGTTGATCTTAAATGCCCCTGCTGCTACAAGAAGGTCAAGAAAGTCCTCTGTAAATTCCCTCGTGAGTTAATTTCACCCTGCATCTCCTTAAGTATAAACAACATCTTGTTCGATTACTTCCTATATTTTTGTGTCTCACAAGATTTTCTACGTCAAAGATGATCTTGATAATCTTGTTTGATTACAACTTAAGAGGCGTAATGTACAAGTTGGGTTATCTTTACTATAAAGATAAGAACTGACTTTTTTTTTCCTTGTTTTGGGATAATAGAAATAAGAGATTAAGTGTTTGAAGAGGACAAAAATAAGGTTATGCTCACAGTCGTATGCTGCGATCCTGAGAAGATTAGAGACAAGCTTTGTTGAAAAGGTGGGAAGGCAATTCAGAGCATTGAGATCGTCGAGAACAAACCAGAAACACCGGAAAAACTTAAGCCTGTCGATAAACCAAAACCCCCACAACCTGAGAAGCCGACAGTGATCGAGAAAAAACCAGAACCCAAGCCCCCTCCAGTTGTAGTTCCGGTGTCGGCGCCGACACCGGTTGAAAAGCCTAAAGTGGATCCTCCCAAACCCGATCCCCCAAAAGCCGATCCCCCGAAACATGATCCACCAAAACAGGATCCACCGAAAAAACAAGATCCAGTTCCAGCTCCGATGCCACATGTTGTTGTCCCATAGCTGGAGCTGGTGAATATGCTTGAACCGATGCATAGATACCCGCAACCCTTCTGTCAACCGTCGTTTCCTGTTTCAGTGTGTTACCAGGAGTGCTATGAAGGTCGCGACTGTTCTAGCGAGAACGGTGGCGTCTCCTCAAGGTTGACCGGTGGTGGTTATGTTGGTACTTTATTTTTCTGAAATAGGAAAGAGATATATGTGTAATGTAGTAGCCTAACAGGAGAGAGAGAGAGAGATTTAATTTTTTATTTTTTAAATACTAAAATAAATAAAAAAAATAGAAAAAAGAAATGAAAAGGGTAAAATCGACTTTTCAAGTGTATCAAGACCCAAAAACCCAGAAAACCCTTGATTTTGGACCTTCTATGCAAGTTGAAAACTTTTTGGACCCTATCCAAAGTTTTTTGAATACCACAGGGACCAAATTTGTAGTTTTTTCTCCGGAATCTATCTCTCCAGAATGTGACGTTCAGAATGCGTGTCTAGAATATGCTTCCGCGACTCATATTCGTCAGGAATCTATGACATATATGATTGATTTGACTATACATTAATGATTGATATGACTTCCGAAATGTCAGTCTGAAATGAAGTTCCGAAATCCGGCATGAACCACTATAAATAAGAACTGGAATTGTAGAACCTTTAGAACTCCAAAATTGTAGAACCTTTAGAAGTGCGCAATGGCAGTAAATCAAACACAACCGTGGACTATACAGGAAGATATCACGCTTGTTCAATATTGGATAATAATTGAGGATAATATGGTTTTCCTCATGCTGCCACATCTAGTGTACGGATCGCGATGGGCACGCTTGAAAATTTTGTTTCACTTTGAGTTATATGTTCCACAGTATTGAACTGAAGAAGAAGTGAAGGCTAAGATTGTAAACATACGGTCAAAGGTGAAGAATTTTATCAACATTTATCACAAGTTCGAGAACGAATTAATGGATGAAGATAAACAAGTAATTTTGCAACGGGCAAGGGTGGAATACAGACAAAAAAATAATGGGTTTGATTTTCCATACGAACATGCTTGAGATATTTTTAAAAGATGTCCCGTATTTTTAAATTATGCATTTGGTTATTTTTATGTTTAATAAGGTTATGGTAGTTGTAAATTATGTTTTTTCTATCTTTGTAACGTCTACCAAATATTAGACCAATAATAATATCTTTCATTAATCACTCCAAAAATCGATTACGAACATAATTAGTTGTGATTACATAAGCAATAAAACGACCATCAATGTGTTAGTTATTTCCCATTCATATGGAGAGGGAAGAGGGTGCACATTTTGGGTCTGGTAGGTAGTTTGAAACACATCAGCCCGATAATATATCTGAACCATATATTCTAATTCAATGATGTTTGATAATGTGATGTTGCAATAGCATGACCGTACTCTATACCCAAACTGTTCCATTTCCCACATGAACATGTATGACAGTTCAGATCTACAACACAAGTTCTTTTAAAATAAAAAATGCAAAAAATGTAAGACAGGAACGAAGACGAGATCTCGGGCGGGATCTTTGTTGCTTGCCACCGAACAGACTTTTGCATCCTCCTTTAAACACCATCTGTGCATACGGGGTTAGTATGCTAGTCAACCTCCCTGAAAGGTAAATATTATCATTTAAGTTAGGGAAGTTATTATACAAGAAAAAAATTCAATGTTTTACTGTAGTTTACCTCCCATGAAATAGCGTTCCATAAAAATCCATTGAATGTAGTCACGAATTGCCTCAGTAAGCGTTATTATCGGTACATTGCGTTGATTAACAGATGATACCTGTAACATCCCAAAATTTAAGACCAAAAATTTCATTTATAATTAAGTTATTATAAACCAACAGTATAAAAACATCCATAATAACATCCCATGTCAAAACCAAAGTGCCAATAATCAAAACATGTTATCATTAAAGAATATCAGAGTGTAATCCCAAATATCTCATGTGCGGAAAACATAGTGCGATGCGCTGCGATCGCCGACTCATTTCCTTTGAAAACGAAGTACCTAAAACCAAAACTAAAAACCGTAAGGACGAAGCTTAGTGAGTTCCCCAAATATCACATACCATACATATCAGCATGTTGCCTAGCATATATGGGTGCTGGCCTACCCCTTCGGTCTCTTTCAACCGGATACTACCATACATAACTGTGAGCCATACAAATCAATCATATATCATAATTATATAAAATGCTATGTGCCAAAACATAGTCTTGCCATTATGCCACGGGCCGCCATGTGGTCTTTCTTGCCAAGTCGGGGGCCACCCCCTTCGGTCTTACAGACAAGTGCCAAGAGCCACCTCCTGGTCTTCCATGCAAGCATCACAAAGACAACTAGCATACATATTGTTCTACTTAGCTAATCAGCATACAGTGTGCCAGGAGCCACCTCCTGGTATTTCATACATAATTCCTAGGGCTAACCCCCGGGTCTTCCTACCGTACATAATAGCATACAGTGTGCCAGGAGCCGCCTCCTGGTCTTTCATACATAATGCCTAGGGCTAACCCACAGGTCTTCCTACCATACATAAACTAAATGGGCCAACATTGGTGCCTTAGAACCATACAAACAGTGAGGAGACTCACCTCGCACTGCTGAAGTCCCGCGAATAAATCCCTGGCTGCTGGCTGACAGATCCCCAAACTGTCAATCATCAAAACAACACCCAATTAATAATTGGGTTCTAATGCATAACCATATGTACACACTTAGGGTAAAAGGACCATTTTACCCCTAACCTAGCTTGGTCCAAGACCAAGGCCCAAACTCACACTTGAAGGCCTAAAAGCCAAATAATCAACCAAGGCCCATTTATGGCCCAATTTTCCAAATTGGGCCCAATCCTTTCCAATGGTGCTTATCCTAAAGCCCAATAACTTCCTTAGTCCACAAACTTGTTCCATTTAGCCCACGAAGGCCCACCACAACCCAGTCCAAGAAATGGCCCAACAAGAACCCAAACCCAATTAGGGTTTTTCACATAAAATGACGATTAGGGTTAAGTGTTCCTACTTAACCCATTAAGGACTTAATCCATTAAGTCCACCACTCCACTAGTCCAAACATACAATGTAATCGGGCTTGAGTCATAACTTCACTCCAATGGTGTAAAACACGGGTCACGGTAATTCCAAACTAACATATTCACAATTAGGGTTTTCTAAACCCTAATTAGGGCTTCTAACCCAACTACGCGCCAACAAAGTTCCAAATTAGGTTTTTAGATTAATTAGGGTTTCATTAGGTCAATTAGGGTTCCATTAGGCCGGACACCACCCATTGCCACCTCGGGCGGTGGTGGTCGGCGACGGCTCACGGAGGCAGCCACCACCTCATGGTGGTGGTGATTATGATGTTAGGCCAAAATGCATCAAGATATCCCGAATAACAGTCCAATTCACACCCAAGCGCATACAACCACCCAAGGTGGCGGCAGAATGGCGGTGTGAGGTGGCAGCCACCACCTCACGGTGGTGGTGACCGGTTTTTTCTATAGTTCCTCCTGCCAAAATCGTCCATACAAACATTTCCCATAAAAACGCACGCACACACCAATATATACCCACAGCCACCCACACACGATGGTCAAAGGTGGCAGAAAAACAACAATGGCGGCAGCCACCATGGTTGGCTGCCATGGTGGCTCTCTTCAACTTCCGGCCAGCCAAAAATTGCACACACAATCACAATTGCAACATCGATTCACATACACACACGTGAAGCACGGGCACCCACCATGCCGGACTTCGGTATTGGAGTCACAAGGAGTTGCCGGTGGTTCACTATGGTCTCACGGAGGCGGCGACTGTATGGGAGGGATTAGGGTGGCGACGCTGGAGGTGGTTGATGAGAGAGTGGCGGCTGCACTAGAACTAGGTTTAGGGTTTAGATGAAGGAGGTAACGTGATATACACGTGTCTAAGAGGGTGGAGGGGAACGAGTTTAACTCCCGTATCCAGCTCCCCCAAACTTTATATAAAAACTGACATTTCTGGTCCCTCCATCTCTCAATGTTTTCAATGTAAGGCTACAATTTACAAAGCAGCTCCCAGCATCCAAGATTCATAACAATTCAAGTCCGAGAAGTTACCATATAGCCACTCCATGACAATTTTTTTTCAACTTAGGTACATAATTTACCCTTTTAGCCCCAGCCATCCAAAATCTTTTCATATTAAGTCCAAATGATACCAAACACCCCCTGACTTCTGAGAATCTTTACAAAATAAATCCCGGAATTACACTTTAACCCCCGAAGATTCAAATTTTGTCATTTGGCTCCCCGAAACCAACACCCCACTAATTATTATTTGATTTTGGCTACAATAATATAAAATAATAATAAAGATTACACCTCGGGTTTCTGGGTTAATTATTTACTTGATTTAAATGGAACGTTACAATTCTCCCCCACTTAAATTAGATTTCGTCCTCGAAATCATTCCTTACCATTCCTGTCACGCCAACAACTTGAGCAACATGGCCACAATTCCGAGCATACCCTAACCTTCCTAAGGCAACCGGAACCAACCCTTGCAGGGTTCTAAAACCAGAAGATCAATGAATTCCTTGCAACATGATCAAATTTACTCAATCTGACATCTGAAGTCTCAAGATGGTCTAACTCCTTGACAGACGCCCATACCGATCCAAAGCTGAATCCATTCCATAAATTTCCTAACTAACTTCTCAGCTTCTGCTGTTAGGGATTTCCGTTAGAAGCAGAATCACTGACCAAATACCGCTACAGATCACTTACACTTGACAGTAGGCTCAGATAATCCATAGAGTAGGAGATCCATCCCTGCAACGGTTAGAATCAGACAAGAGCTGCGCAACAATGTCAAATCAATTACTCTGAGATTATTTAATCCAACTGCAAGTGACATGGCACTTTCGATCCACAAGCTACTCCACACACAAATCCCCAAATCATTACTACCGTCTGAAACATCACGCTGCCTCCTATCT